TCATTTTGGTGCATTCAGACACATATGTGAAATACTACTTTGATGATTTCTTCATTATCTCTTCCTTTGTCCCTAATTCTTTTCCTGTTCTCTAATTGTCTCCTGTTTTCATTTCCTCTCTCTCCCTCTTTCTCTCTGCTCTTTTCTCCTAGATTTCTCATATAAGAGGAAACATGTAATATTTCACTGTCTGAGAGTGTAGTTTACTTAACCTAACATGATCTTGTTTCATCCATTTTCTTGCAAGTGATAAAATTTCATTCTTCTCTATGGCTCAGTAATATTCCATCATGTATATATACCACATTTTCATTATCCATTAATATGTGGATGTGCACCTAAACTGTTTCTGTAGCTTAGCTATTGTGAATTACATTGTAATAAACATGACTGTTCTGGTATCTCTATAGTATACTGACTTTGATTCTTTCGGGAATATACAGAAGAGAGGTATAGCTGGATCAAATAGTAACTCTAGTTTTAGTTTTCTGAGGAAATTTAGTATTGATTTCCATAATGGCTGCAGTAATTTACATCCCCTACAGTGTAGAAATGTTCCTTTTCCCCTCGCCAGCATTGTTGTTTTTTGTATTCTTTTTTTTTTTTTTTATCGGTACCAGGGATCAAATTTACGACCGCCTGCTTACAAGGCAGGTGCTTATGCTGCTGAGCTAAATCCCCAGCTGTTTTTTGTATTTTTATTGACAGTCACATTCTGAGTAAGGTGAAATGGAATCTCAATACAGTTTTGATTTGCATTTCCCTGATGGTTAAAAATGCTGAATATTTGTTCATGTGCTTATTGGCCATTTGTACTTCTTTTGGGAAGTGTTTGGACAATTTAGTTCTTAAGTACATGGTGTTTAGTGAAAAAAACATCTCAAAAGATCATGTATTGCATAATTTCACCTACATAATATCCTTGGAATGACAAGATGCACAAGCAGATCAGTGATGCCAGGCGATGAGAATGAACGTGGGAATGTCCACGGTTATGTAGGTATGTAGGGGCAATATGAAGGAATTTGTTTCTCTGTGATGATAAAACACATCATAATAAAACAATTCTACAACATGATAGACATAAGGGTCACATAAGACTATGTGGAGAACCAAGTTGTACACACATGTGCACATGCACAAACATACAAATGAGCACATAAAACAGCAAAAGTTGAATAATGGCTATAGTGTAGCAGTAGTATACCAGTGTAAAGGTCTTGTTTTGACACTTATACTTATGTAAGAGGTTACCATTATGGAAGCTGCATAACCATTTAAGAGATTCTACTTTTGCAACTTCCCTTTAAATCAATAAATCATATTTTTAAAAGCAATTAAAATAACAGTTGTAAATTTAAAAATTTAATACAGCTCATGTTTGACCTCCTTTAATTAAGATTAATTTTTCTTTTTTTGTCTTTGTTTTGGTACTGGGATTTGAACCTAGGGTCTTTGCACTGAATTACATCACCATCCATACTTTCATTTTTTTATTTCAAGATAAGATCTCATTAAATTTTGCCTAAACTGGATATGAACTTTCAATCCCCTTGGCTCAGCTTCTCAGAGATTATAGTTGTGTGCTGCCAGACCTGGTTTTATTTTTCTTAAATGTTACTTTTTCATTGACATAAAATTCACACACTATGAAATTTACTATTTTAAACTGTGTAATTTCAGTTTTTATAGCATATTCATAAAGTTGTACAACCATAATCACTACCTAATCCAGAACATTTTTATCATCCCACAGAGAAACTGCATACTTATTATCAGTCACTTTCTCTTCACTTTTTCTCCTTCTCCCTCTATCTTTTCCTTTTGATAGGCCTATTTTAGATATTCCATAGAATTCGCTTGAACCCAAGGCCTTTGCACTAAGCTATGTCTCCTGTCCTATTTTTTTTTTTTAATTTCAAGATAGAGTCTCACTAAATTGCCTAGGCTGGGCTTGAACTTTCAGTCCTCTGCCTCAGCTTCCCAGAGATTACAGATGTAATCAAACAATATTGAAAACAAACAATGTACAGTACGGTCTTTTGTTTTTTATTTCTTTTATGTACTACATTTTCAAGGTTCATTTATATTACAGCAGGTATCTGTGCTTCATTGCTTTGTAATGGCTAAATTAATATTTCAATATATAGATATTCCATATTTTATTTATTCACATAGTAGTTGATGGACCTGTGGGTTATTCCTACTTTTTTGTTATTAAGAATAATTCTCCTGAGGCCATTGGTGTAGTCAGGCATTGTGAGAGAACAAAATTTCAGGACACAGAATTTATAATATTTTTGATGGTCACCCAGAGTTTAATACAAAATGTGTAGGAAATCTATCCACAACACTAAAGATATAGAATATTCAGCTAAAGGCCTGAATCCCACAGCAATGTCCTGCATGAGTCCAGATAAAAACTTAGAGCTCATGACAGTGCTTCCCACGAGTCCAACTGGAGTTCTAGAGCCCATGAGAAGGACACACACCACTCTGTTTTACGGATCCGTGTTAGGAAGGCCCAAAGATCAATGGTGGAAACTAGAAAGTCTGTGCCAGCAGAGTGAAGGAGCCATGTTGGTAGGTTGAGGGTTCTACACCGGAGCCAAGAAATCATGCTCATAATAAAGAGCATGGCTGTCTTGAAAAACATGACAGCCATCCTCAGCAACACAGAGGTCCTGAGCTCCTCCGACAATAAGAACAGTTGAGTACATGCCAGAAAGCCAGTGAGATGAGTTTGTCGTGGAGATTAAACAGCACACATCTTCCCCTCTGGAGCCAGGAAGCAATGTTCAACGTAAGGACCAGAGCTCTCCAAAAGTGAACCACAGCCACACTCACCAACAAGGTCCCGAGCCCTTCTAATGACAATGGTCAAACTCACACTGGGGAAACTAGTCATGAAGAGCTCCTCCAGGAGAACCAATGGCTCAAACATGTAGGAGAACTTGTGTTCTCCACATCTTTATTTATGCTGGCAACTTTCCTCAGGTGGAACATCTATGCTCAGCACCATGCTGATATAATTAGCTGGTTAAGTTGGCCATCAGTGTTTAATTCATAACAGCGATCTCTGTACAAGTTTTTGTATGACCATATTCTTTAAATTATTCAGATGTATACCTGAGAACAAAAATGCTGGGCCATATGATAATTCTATGCTTAACGTTTTTTGGGGGGTGGGTTCATTTGAAACAAGGTTTTGCTTTGTAAAAGTAGGCTGACCTTGAACTGACTATGTAACACAAGCCAGCCTGGAGACCTCAAATTTATGGTACTGCTTCTGCCTTTGTCTTCATAGTGCTGGGTTAGAGGTATGTGCCACCATGTGCAGCTATGCTTAATTTTTTGAGGAACTGCTACATTGTTTCCTGAAATGGCTGCACCACTTTACATTTGCTAAGCAATATGTGAGTGCTCCAACTTCTCCACACCCTACACTAATACCTGATATGTTTTTTAAATTATAGCTACCAGACTAGATATAAATGGTATTATGGTGTTTTTTATTTCCCTAATGATTAATGAATTTTGAGTACATTTTTCATTTATATATCTCTTCTTTGGAGAAACCCATTCAAATCTTTGCCTCCCACCTGTTTTTACAGTTCAGGCTGGCCTAGAAGTCACTATGTAGTCCAGGCTGGCCTCAGACTCACAGTGATCCTCCTGCCTCAGTCTCCCAAGTGCTGGGATTCCAGGCATGCCTAGCCACATGTGACATCTTTGCCCATTTAAAAAATTGTTGACTTTTAGTTGTTGAGTTGTAACATTTATTTATTTATCTTGGCTCCTAGATTCTTATCAGATATGTTGCAAATATCTCATTGCATTGATTATTTTTTCACTTTTTTAATTCTGCCCTTGGAAACATAATCATGTTTAATCTTAATGGAGCCCAACTCACCTATTTTTATTTTATTACTGTGATTTTAAGTGTCATATCTAAGAAACCATCATCTCAGCTAAGACCATTAAGTTTTATAGCTAAGTTTTCTTCCAAGAGTCTGTTTATCTTTTACTGTAGGTACCTGATCCATTTTAAGTTTTACCTCATTCCTTTCCATGTGGATATTGAGTTGTCCCAGTATCATTTGGCAAAAAAGTTATTCTTATTCTCATCAACTTATCTTGGCATCCTCAATGAAAATCAGTTGGCCATAGCAGTACAGGTTTATTTTTGTACTTTTAATTCCACTCTATTGATATAAAAATTTGCACACTTTTTAGTACTAGGGCATGAGACCAGGCCCTCAGACATACCAGGAATGCACTCTACTACTACTGAGCCCTTGAAAGGTTTTTTAAATTATTGTCCCTGAGAGTTAACACTTCAAAAAGAACTCTTGCCATTTTTGTCCACACTTATGAACTAAGTTTTGTTGGGGTTCCATGGAACCTCAATTAGGAAGATGAAGCTGATAGGTCACCAGAAAATAAGGAATAGGACAAGTGATGGTGCACTGAGAAAAATTAGTAAGATCTGGATTTGAATGCTAATTTTTTCCAAAATTATATGTCTTCAAGAACTACAGGTACTGTGTCACTGAGGTTTAGTTTTTGTTTTGTTGTTGTTTGTATGCTTGTTTGTTTTGTACTGGGGATCAAACTTACAACCTCACATTTGCCAAGCAGGCATTTACACCACTGGGCTAAACCCCCAGACCCGGTATTATGACATGAGAATGGTGGCAATCTCAGTCTCACAGGGCTGGTGTTAGCATTAAGTGACAAAGCTTTTGAAAGTTATGACACAGTTTCTGCAACACAGTAGATATTTGATATCAAGTAAATCTATAGCTGGTGCATGGCCATTGATTCCCATCCTTCTGACCCTTCTGACCATAGTGGTTGCTATGTGGGTCAGGAGAAGAGGGCTATTCTCTGTGTATCTATTAGTTTCCATTACTGTTTCTGTCTCCTACACTATGCAGCAACTATGGCTACATTCCCTTACCTTTTCTTTCAGGGATAGTAGGAAGAGTGGGTGAAGAAGAAAAAAATGGTTGTAGCCAGAAGCACAACTCTTAGGCTTGAGGGATGCCCAGTGGTGAATCACAGAATAATCGGAAAATAGGCCTATAATGTTTTACATACTTAGAGTTTTATTTTTATTCAAGAAACAGTGTGACTGCATTGCCAATCTAGAACTCTGTCATGACTGAAGGAATCTTGCCTCTTTGGATCAGGAGGTCACAGTTCAGGCCCTGAGTTTACCTATGACAATCTCCAAATTGTATTGGCAGGCAACAAACTGTCCCTATTATCAACTAAACTTCTAAGCATAATCCTAAATAGTAATGATGTTCCTAAGGTTTCGAAGAAGGAGTGAGGTGTTTGTTGACTTCTCATTACTTCAATTAGACAATTAGCTAGAGTGATTCACAAGACTCCTAGACTAGGTTATTGCCCTAAAACAATCAGGGCTGATTATAGCTGCCTCCTCCCACTCCTCCTTAGTTCCCACTGCACATCTGGTTCCTTCCTCAGAGCTGCCGTGGCCACTTGGAAGGGAATGCCATTGCTAGAACCCTGACTCATTAAGTACTTTTTGCCTTGGTTGAAATCCCCTCATCCTTGAGATCCACCCCTCTCCCCAAATTCTCCCTTCCCTGTGGCTTTACTTGGATTCCTCATGGTTTGGAGTTCAGTTATAAGGAAACTGGTCCCATCATATGATTGTCAAGTCCTGGTTCTCAGAGAGGCCATATTCAACTTTGTGTTGATCAAACAGCTTGCGCAGGGCACTGATGTAGAGTGCATGGTATTTGTCCACTGTCTGCTTGTTGGGCCACTTAATCTTGGGGATTGGCAGAGGTTCCCCAACTATGGAGAAGGAGGAGACAAGCATCAGAATCCCTGCCCCAACTCACCCTACCCATCCCTCACTGGGACCACATAATGACTGTATCTGAGTCCTTCCCCTTCAGTCTTTCCCTCTGCTACAGCTCTAGCCTGGTCTCATTCTCTGGTCACCTAAGCTTACCTATGCTTCCCAGAATGAGAATGATAATGAGTGCAAGAGCTGAAGGAATGTGTGTGAATAGTGATAATCTTTTAACTACTATTGAAGTCTGTCTCACATATGAATGGTTACAACTATTATCTGATTAGTTGTCCTCCCTGCCCTGCTCTCAATTCCCTTTGCCCACTCTGACTGGAAGCCAGGACCTGAGGGGCTTGATGGATGACTTAAGGTGGGAGTGATCAAGAGATGGGTGAGTTCAGGGAGAGTGGAACAGCTCACCAACTGTGGTAATGGGTCGATTGAAAGGCAGGAAACCCCAGGATCCTCGAGTGAGGCCTCGGCCATGGAAGGTACAGAAATTTAATCCCAGGATTTTTTTAAACGTTTTCTGAAAGTTTTTTTGGAAGAACCTTATCCATGTGCCTTCAGGGAAGGTCTCCTGATTGTAAACCTCATTTTCACCAAAGGAGTACGAAGGAACAAGGTATGCCCTGCAAAGAGAGGGGCAGGAGCGTGAACTCTCCAAGGAAGTGAAATCTCCCTCCAGAAAAACTTTTTCCAAAGTTGGAAACCTTCAACTTTCTGATTGGACAAGAACACAAGACAACCATCTCCAGCTTTGTGTCCCATTCCTGCCAGGTCCCACCGTCCCACCTGAACTCTCTGAAAGGAGCTCTTGCACTTGTCCTGATGGGAAGGAACATCCAGAGCAATCTTCCTAAAATACCTATGTGGATGTATCATTCCTGTCTTTAAAGCTCCTCTAGTGCTCTGCACTGTAGACCTGCTGCTCATCACAGCCTTTGTTCTCTAGACTTCATATTTCCCTGCTAGCTTCTTCTCTCCTCCCCACTCCTTCCTCACAATTTGTTTAGCCAGGCTACCTGTGCCAAGTTCTCTCTCATCCCTGTGTCTGTACCTTCTACTCTCTCAGAGTTCGTAAGGCAGATTCCATTTTGCCTTTTAATACTCAGTTCCCATTTCAGACCCTTGAAGATACTTACCTTGACTGCTTCTAGTTTGTGCACTGTGGACTGCGTACTCTTCACTTAGTGCTTCTCTGTGTCCTGCCATCCCATTTTCCAAGCTCTGTGTTACAGTCATCTCCTTTCCTGTCTAACTTCCCCTGGAGACAGCAAGCTAATCAGGGATGACAACTGTGTCATATTCATCTGTGAATCCCTAGGCCCTGGCATGGTGCTTGATAATGCCATAGGTCCTCCTTGAATGCCTCAGGTATTTTTCACTTCGGGACTGGCAACTTTCAAATGAATTGTCAATTCACACTTCAGATATCACTTACCTGTGAAACCTCTACTCTGGGTCAAGATCTTTGCATAAACTGATGCTCCCATAGCAATTTGTACACATCTTCCTTACAGTACGTCATTCATTTAAGAAATCTCTATTGAGTTCTTTCTATGTGTCAACACTATTTTAGGTCCTGGGGACACATTAGGGAACACAATGAATTTTTTAAAATCTCTGTCCTCATGGAATTTGGGGACAGGGTACAGATCATAAACAATAAAATAATATAAAATAAGTAAAATAGATGGCATGCAAGAAGATGGTAAATACAACAGGAAAACAATAGAGCAGGATGGTCAGGGAAGAGCTTACTGAGAAGAGATGTTTAAGCAAAGACTCGAAAGAGTTGAGCAGTTTCTGACAGGGACAGTGATACAGGCAGAGGGAATGGCTAGAACCAAGACCCTAAGGCAGGTACATGTGGCCTGTTGTTGTGGGGGGGTCACCAAAGAAGCAAGCATGACTGGCAAGGGGGAAGAATAGTGAATGATGAAGTCAGGGAGGTGGTTTAGAACTAGAGAAAATAGATAATTAAGGGTCTTTGAGGTCCTTTGTAAGGACTGTGGCCTTGCCCTAAGTGGCATGAGGGCCACTGGAACATTTTGAGTAGTGACATGATCTGTAAATCATAATCTGTTATGTTACTCTGGTTGCAGATGAGAATAGACTCTTGAAGATGAGAGAGGCAGAGACAGAAGCTTGGATAACAATTAGAAGTTTTTAGTAATCCAGGGGAAATATGATGGTAGTTTGAACAAGGTAATGGTAGTTGAGGTAGTGAGTGACTGAATTCTAGATATATTTTGTAATGATATGTATGTGGATCTGTTTCTCATACTTCACAGTGAGTTTGCAAGGACCAGAACTCTTATTCCTATATCCTCAATTCTTCACCACTATGCCTAACACACAGTAGGTATTTGATAACTGCTGAATGAATGTGTTCTACTTTTCAAATCAGACTTAAGCTCTTTGGGCATGTCTTACTCAATTTTGTAATCCTCATATCACCAAGGCCAGTGCCTTCTTTGCCCTTGGGGATTTCTCAGGCCTCTTAGTGAACAGGTGGGTACAGAGTGAAACTCCTGTTACCTTCAGCCTACCAGGGTAACAGGTGAAAAGAAAAATGTCTCCTTCTGCTATTCTTTCACTAGTTTCAAGTAAAAAAAAACTGTGCCCAAAAAAGTGTACAGGCCCAAACACACCCAAGACTCAGTGTGAGAGGGTAGAAGGAAGCAACCTTAGTTAAGAGCAAATCTCTAGCAGCTTTGCCATGGAGGGCAGTCTTCTGCAAAGGGTTACAAAGGATCCGTGGTACCTAGACGTGGAAGCTCCAGAATCTAGGCACCTACCCTGTCTCCAGTGCCAGCTTCACAAAACCTTTACGTTGCTTGAGCACGACGATGGAGGCTCCTGGGTGGCACAAGAGGGCTTCAGCAGCTCCACCCACCACAACAATCACAGCATTGCCTGAGTATTTTGGTGTCAGAGCATACTCCAAAGCCAACTTACTTACTGGGCACATGCCTGTGAAACAAGAGTCAAGTAGTAGAATAAAATTGGTGTCTAAGGATGGGATGAAGGGTTGCTCCAGGCTCCTCCTGCTGGAGATAGTTCTATTTTCTGCTTATTGATGGTTGTCTACTTCCATCTTTGGTCCTGGTATCCCGGGTTGACCTGGCCTAACATGGGTCCAGCTGTTTGCCTTAGAGTCTGTGTTCCTATGGTTGAGGCTACACTGAGTTCTTCTGTTTACTTCCATTCATAACTTACTACCTTCTAGTTCAGCAGTCCTTATGGCCACCCTTCCTGTCTCTATACACAAACTACTGCTGTCCTATACTCTTCCCAGGCTGACGAAACCAGTAACCCTCCAGAGTTCTCTTTTTCAGTGGTGTCCAGGAATAGCCACCATCAATATGTTTTTCCATAAGAGAAACCTGCCAATGGTGAGACATTGCCTAGGGATTTTGGAAAGTAGGCAGGTCTGGAGCCCACCCAATCCAAATTGAAATATAGATAAACAATGGAATCACTTCTGAATCCCATTTTTGCTCTGTCCTTACCTCCTGTTCTCTACCAGGTGACAGTACTTGCCTCCAGGCTCCAGCCATTTGCTTCAGGGCCATGCCAACTTCAGAGAGGAATTGAAACATCCTCTGAGATTCTAGCAGTACTACCTGGCTCCTTCAGATAAATGTATCTTATGTTTTAGTATTTGGTTTCTGTTTTTTTCTGGTGTCCAGAAGGATACATAGTGGTTCATAGAGATAGACATTTGTCACTATGCCCTGGCTTGAAGCCTAGCATGGCTAAGTTGTCCTGGATTCTGATGGATGACTATCTTGTGTCCTCTGGCATGTTATCCAAGAGATGGAGACTGTACTAGGTGATATGAAAGATTTTAAAATGTCTTTGAAATAATATGAGATGAGAGCTTCCATATAAATGTCTGGCCAAAAGAAGTCAACAACATCCCAGTAAAGAGTCTGGAAAATCTAGACCAATTTTCCCTGCAGTTGTGGTTAGTACTTGGCTTTCATATTCTGTATTCTATTTAGGCTTTGATCCTGAATTTATCCCACTGGTTGCCCCTGTGAAAAAGTCTTGGAGAGTCATATGAAGCTCTGTAACTTCCCCTGTTGTCCAACTGAACTATGCATCCCAGGTCTTGGACAGAACCTGATGCTTGGCCATTTACTCCTGATACTGGCTCAATATGTTCAGGACTCGTTTTCTATGAAATCCTCTTCTAGTAGTGAATAACTGGCAGTTTATTGGGGATGGAACCTTGAGGTAGATTAGACAATTAAACGACTTATACTCACCCATCGACATCACGTAGTCTCGCACAAGTGGGATCCAGAAAATGCCTTCCAAGGTTGCTAAAAAGGGAGTGACAGATGGGAAAATCCGGGCAAAGCCAGTGGCCTCAGTGGCAAAGTTGATGAAGGCACCAAAAGATAAAACACCATGGGGGTGGCTGGCAATGATGTAGTTGTGTTTGGGAGAAAGATCATGAGTCTTCACCAGCTGTTATAGGGAGATTGAGTCAGTTTGGCTATGCACAAAAAAGACAAGCTGTGTAATATATTAGACTCCAGCAGGTAGCCTATGTGTCCCTCTGAGAGCCCCAAATCCCTGCTAATAGGTTTGTCAGAAATTTTGGTGGTCAGAGAGGCTGACCTGGGTTTGCCACTGAGGGAAAGATTGTTTTCCATCTGTATCTCCATCTGCCCATCCACCTTAGGTCTCTGCTCTGCCTTACATCTCTGGGCCTTGACCTTCACTGCTGGCCACCAAAGCATTTGGAAATATGAAACTAAGTAGAGAGTGAGAGGTATGGCAACAAGAACCAAGGGAATCCAGAGGAAATGTAGTCACCTTTATTGGGAAGTAATTACAGAAATACTTCCAGAGGGTCCAGTTCCGTACCCAAGCAGCACGTCTGCCACCTGTGAATAGAGAAGCAAAGGAAAGAGCAGGAGGGACATTGGCATTACTTACCCTCTCCCAGAGGTGGACATTTCTTCTATAGTCCTCAGGCCACGAAAGGATTCTCCTTCTCACCCCTCAGAGCTGGAAGTACTGTCCCTGAATCCAGCTCCCTTGGGAAGCCTTTGTTTCTCTGAACCCAACCAGAAAGACAATGGAGAAACATACTGAGGCTGGGATTCTCTGCTCAGAAACATCAACCTCTTAGCTCTTCCTAAGCAGCTGGCAGAGCTCTCTGTCCCTTTCCCCTCCCTCTTTTGCTTTTCTCCTTCTCTTCACCTACCTCCCTGTCCTCGTAGCTCCATCTTTGGCACAGATAGAAAAACCATTCTTCCCCCGCCTCTTACCTCGACTGGGGGTGTTCCAATCATAGGCAAGCCAGGCTAAGGCAAGCACCGCCAAGGCCCAGAACTCAGTGAGCACCAGGAAGTAGGGTATGAGAATAATGGGAATTGCTCCTGAGGAGACATAATGGGTTCATGCTCTTCAGTTCCTTTCAAGTTTCAACGTGCCTTTCATCACCTATACTGTAATTCCATACTGAGGGAGCAGGCAAGGAGGACGTGGGACTCTTCTCTTCTTCTCTTTTGCACCCTTTGCCTTGCTATGCTCTGAATCTGGCTGACTTCTGAGTTTTTCAATCTGGTTTCCCTTGATGGCAGACATCTTCATGGAGAAAAATGCAAAACCATGAACTTCTCAGAGAAGACCCTCAGCTGGAGTTAAAAGATGGCACTGCCAAGCAAGTAGAAAGAATAGCATATTGGGCTGGTAGCTGATTATTCCCATTTTAGGACCTTGTGAATTTTTTTCTAAAAACTTGACCCTTCTTCCTTTGTTGAACTGCTAAGTCTGCATATTTTGGAGAGACCCTGCCTACAGTGTGCAAAATGTTTGATGCTGAGAAGAAACACAGATTAGAGACTGCTTTACTATATTCTATCTTGTCCCTTTCAAAATGTTGCAAAAGTTCAGAGGGGGAAAAATTTATCTCTGTTAGCAAAAGGATATAGCATGCTATGAAATGCAAACTTGATACATAACAATAGGAATTTAATTCTATTTTATCTATTTACTTTTTTGTGGTACTGGGGATTGAGTCAAGAGCCTTGTGCATCTTAGGCAAGTTCTCTACCACTGAGCCATCTTCCACTTTTAAATCTGCGTTCATGAGAAAGGGGAGCTAAATACATATAACATGAATTAAAAGGGACAAACTTAGGAAATGACTTCTTCGAATAGGTGCAATATCATGATAGATGAACATTTCAGACAAGGGAGCAAAATTCAAGAGTTACCTACCAGCATGTTTGTCTCTTGTGTTTGGAATATAGAAGGAAAAAGACTGAATGAATGGGCATTGCTTTTAAAAATCATGTTATGGAGTACATTAGAAGAAAGCTTAAAGAAGAACTGAATTCCCCTTAGAAGAACTGCAGGAGGTGATTGTCGAGAACATGCTACTTAGCCAAGAAATAGGGAAGAATTTTTATGGGAAGTCTGCTATGAACAAAAACTCTGCTGCTTCTGACCTTTGTAAAAGATGGAAATAAATTTGCCAGTTAAGTTTCAGAAGAAAACTCAGATAAAGTTACATAGGAATCATTACCCATTAAAGATACTCTAAGTGTATCACTCCTTTCTTGCTTCAAGTAAATTTTGTTGAAATTCTTAGTATTTACAAGAGTGCCTGGTACATAATGGGTATTCAACAAATTTCATCTAGACTGGATGAAAAGATAAGTAAATAAATAAATTTCAACAATGGAGAAACTTTAGTGAATAATGTTTAGTTACTATATATAATAGTATTGATATGTAATGTTATTTTTAAAATAGAGACAGATTGTGTACCTTATCTCTATCTTCATTTAACTATCAGTTGTAAGGCAGTTGAGGAGCCCTTATCTGGAGAAACACTACCCCTCTTGTGAAACTTATTGGAACCGTGGATGTGGCCCTGAAGGAAACCGTGTGTCCTTTGAGGATAAGCCTTCCATATCCAGCCTGTAAGAATGTCATCAATGAAGTGCACTGTGACAAATGTGGGATTTAAAGAGAGAAAGAAACAGAGGCCAAAAGTGGAAAAGTTAAAGAGAACATATCAAGAGTTCCATGTGTGTCTTAGGAAAATATGATGAAGGATAAGCATTTGTTTGTATGTGTGTGTAATGCTCCCTTAGATATTCTGACCCCAACATCAGGAGACAGTTCCAATATTTCTTGTTCGTTCTCAGGTGAGACACCATGGAGAGGATTATGAAGGAGGAGTTCACATCGTAGTTTCCTAATTTGATTTGTACTGAGGATGGCTAAGTATTCTCAATAGATTTGGTGCAGTTGAATCTCATCATTCTTATTTGCATTTCTCTAGCAGCTAATGCTTAACAGTCTTCCATGTATTTGGCTATCTTCTATGTATCCTTCTTTAGTGAAGTGAGTTTTTAAATCTTATGCCCAAGCCAGCCTGGTGGCGCATGCCTGTAATCTCAGTACTCAGGGTGACCAAGTGAATCTCAGCAGGAGGATGACCATAGTTTGAGGTCAGCCTGGGCTACAGTTCAAGCTGCCCAGCAGTGAGACATGAATTATGGCACCATCATGAACATGTTTAATCCAAGAGGACTCAAAATGACAGGTGCAGAGATCACATGATACTGGAGTTTAATGGGGTATGTTGGACCCTCACTGGCTCCTCAAAAATCAGAGGAAAAGCAGAAATTTTCTCTCTGGGATGGAGTTCTTAACAGGCTCATTTCTTAGCATTGAAAAGACTGTCACTTCCCTGGGTGAAACTTTCATCCTATAGCTTCAGCCCAAGATTGTCAGTTGTGGGACAGATGAAATTTGATGATGTGTCATAGTCTTGGAGACCTTTTGGGCTTCCCAGATCTTACATAAAGATTTATATAGCCAGGATTTTTGCTCAGTGCTTCTTCCCAGTGTGTAGGACAGGACTAAGGGCCCAAACAAAGGCCAAAGTCAATCCTGGTCCCATCCTTATCACCCCTCTCCCCTTGCCAGCCCTCCTCTGGGCTGATTTTTTGCTAATGAATTTTGGAGTCCTTCATACATTTTAGAAACAAGCCCTTCATCTAACATCTTATTTGAAAACATTTTTTCTTATTCTGTGTCTATCTCTTGATTCTTTTAACAGATTCTTTCTTGGTACAAAAGATTTTGGTTTGAGTGAAGTATAATTTATCATAGTTTTCCTCTTACAGGAAAACAAGATTTGATGCCAAATCTGACTCTTTGCTTAACATCAAATCACTGAGTTTTTCTCCTGTTCTGTACTAAAACATTTCATTCTCTGTTTTACATGTAAATCTATGGTTTATTTCAAGTTAACATTTTTCCAGAAGCATAATTGAATATATTCAAGATATACATGATGATTTGATATATGTATGTATTGTGTAATGATTACTACAATCAAATTAATACATCACCACCATGCATAGTGTGTGTGTGTGTGTGGAGGGGAGAAGACACTTAAGATCTACTGTCTTAGCAAGTTATAAGTAAATAATATAGTATTCTTAACTATAGTCATTACACTAAAGCTCTAAAAATCATTTATCTTATAACTGAAACTTTGTACCCTTTGACCAACATCTCCACATTTTTCCCCTTGCCCTCGTCCCTGAGAACTATCATTCTACTTTCTGCTTCTTTAAGTTTGATATTTTTTAAGAGACAAAGTCGTGCTATGTTCCCCAGGCTTAACTCAAACTCCTGGGCTCAAGAAATCCTCTTGCTTCAGCCTCCATGCACCTAGGACTATAGGCAAAAACCACCATGCCCATCTTAATTTGACTATTTTAGATTCCAAATGTAAGTGACATCATGTGATATCTGTATTTTTGTGTCTGTCTTATTTTGTTAGCATAATATCCTCCAGGTTCATCCATGTTGTTGCAAATGGAAGGATTTTAATGGCTAAATAATATCGTTTGTGTGTGTGTGTGTATGTGTGTGTGTGTGTGTGTACATGGAGTCACATTTTCTTTATTTATTAGTGGACACTTTGGTTGGCCACATATCTTGGATATGTGAATAATGCTATAATGAATGTGAAGGTACAGATATCTCAAGATAACTGATTTCAAAACCTTTGGAACTTACATATGTTTTCCATAATGGCTGTATCATTTTACATTCCCATCAATGGTATACAAGGGTTTCCTTTTCCCACATTCTAGCTAACACTTGTTATCTCATCTTTTTTATAATAGTCATCCTAATTGTGACATCCCCTCAATGGTTTTGATTTGTACTAGCCTGGTGACTAACAATATTGGGAATATTTTTTATAAATCTATTGCCTTTTGGTACATTTTCTTTGGAAAAATGTCTATTCAGGTATTTTGCCCATTTGTAAAATTAGGTTATCTATTTTTATTTTGTTATTGAGTTATATGAGTTCCTATATAATTTGGAGATTAACCCTTTAACAGATGCATGGTTTGCAAATATTTTCTTCCATTTTGTAGGTTGCCTTATCACTTTTTAGTGTTTCCTTTGCCATGCATAAGCTTCTTAGTTTCATGTACTTTCAGATATTTATTTTTGCATTTGTTGTCATAGGCCCCCCAAAAGTTACTGTCAAAGTCAATGTCAAATTTACTTCATGTTTTCTTTTAAAAATTTAATAGTTTCAGGTCTTGTAAGTAAGCCTTTAATTCATTGTGGGTTCATTTTTATATATGATACACTACAAGGGTTCAATTTTATTGCTTTACATGTGTTTGTCCACTTTGATATCATTTATTAAAGAGATTAGCATTTCTTTATTTTGTATTTTGCTGCCCTTGTCAAAGATTACTTGATATATATGTGAAATTATTTCTGGGCTCTCTATTCTGTTCCATTGATCTATCCATCTGTTTCTACACCAGTAGTACAATGTTTTGATTACTAAGCTTTGTAATATAGTTTGAAACCAGGAAGTGTGGTATATCCAGCTTTGTTGTTCTTTCTAAAGATTGCTTTAGCTATTCAGGGTTTTTTGTAATACCATATAAGTTCTAGCATTGATTTTTTTGTTTCTGTGAAATATGTTATTGAAATTTTGAGAGCATTAAATCCATAGATAATTTTGAGTGGCATGGACAATTTAATAATATTAATTCTTTCAGTCTATATGCACTGAGTTTCTTTCTATTCAGTTGTGTCATCTTCAACTGCTTTCATCATCTTTTAGTTTTTGGTGTATAGATTTCTTATCTCCTAGGTTAAATTTATGCCTTTTGATGCTATTGTAAATAGCACTGTTTGATTTATTTCTTTTGGGGGATAGTTCTCTGTTAGTGTATAGAAATGTAGCTGATTTTTCTGTGTTGATTTTTGTATCCTGCCACCTTACTGACTATGTCTATCAGTCCTAAAAGTTTTTGGCTAGAGTTTAGGGTTTTCTATGTACACAATCATGTCAGTTTACTTGTTTCTTTCCAAT